TGCATATCAGCAGCCATGGAGCACTTACTGCATATCACCCATGGAGCGCTTACTGCATATCACCCATGGAGCGCTTACTGCATATCAGCAGCCATGAGCACTTACTGCATAGAAGTGTTCCCACTGATTGTTATCTCACACTTTGAGAGCTGGAAGGTAGCAGAGACTCTGATATGAGTGACAGCCAGTAGCACTAGGCTTACAATGCAGCTGTCAGATTACAAACTAAACGTGGTGTTTCTGTATGTCTCTCTTTGTCACCTGAGAATGCAGACTAATGCATTGTCACAAAACGCTTCTCAAATCCTGTTGGAAAGTATTTACTTTTCTTGAAATGTCACATCTGTCTATGCTGCTCAGCCCCCACAACCAAATACTTAAACCTTGGTGATGGCTGAGAGCCCAGGCCTGTGGCTTTACAGTGCAGGTTCCTCTTCTGCATGCCTCCCTCCCCAGCTCTTGGAGGAAGGATGGGCTTATATTTGAATTCAGCCAGACTTTGCAGTTGAATGGATCAGTGTCAAACTGAAGAATCAGTGTGGCCAGTGCCTATCTGTGTGACCCCAGGTAAAGCAGTTTCCTTTTAAATTTGTTCCATCAATCAATGAGAGTTGCCAAGTGTTTTCTTCCTCGGCTCCTGCATGGTTTCTGAACACCAGGACAGCTTTTGCAACAATTATTCCAATTATTAGGGGAATATAGAAAGGCATATAAATTTTTGTAAGTTGATTTTGTATTCCACCACTTTTCTGACTGTTAATTTCTATGTTTTCTGATTGATCTTTGGGATCTGTTATGTATGAATGTAAATAAATCATATAAATGGTCTTCAAGACAAACCTTGGTTGCTGAACTCAATAGGTGCAGAAAAGGCCTTTGGTGAAATTCAACATGCCTTTGTTTTATTATAGAAGGATTTTATCATTATGTATCATCTGCAAAGAGGGATAATTCAACTTACTTTCCTACTTTAACTTCTTCTATTTGTGTCTCTGTTTTATTGCTCTACTTAGTGCTCCAACCACTGTATTACTGGGATGAGGAGAAGGAACAGCCCTACATAGTTCCTGATTTAAACAGAACTGCTTCAAGTTTTTCTCCATTTCAGATGATGTTGGCTGTGGGTTTGTCACACGTTGTCTTTACTTTTGTTGATTTATGTTCCCTGATGTTCTTCTGCAGCTTATATCATGAATGCATATTACATTTTTGCCAAAAGACCCTTTCTGTATCTATGGAGACAAGCATATGATTTTTGTCTTGAAGTCAATTTATATGATTTATTAAAAAGGATGGATATGACTTACATATGCATTGTTGCATGTCCAGGATGCATGGGTGATTTTTAAAATACATGTCCACATTCAGTTTGTAAGTAATTCATTGAGGAAGTTTCCATCTATGTTCATCATGTACATTGGTCTGCAGATTTTTTAAAATTTGTTTATTTATTCACCTTATAGCACAATATCAGCCCTTCCTTTCCTCTCAGTACCCCCTCATGCAAGTCCTCCCCCCATTCCACCTTCCCCTTTTCTTTTGAGAAGGGGAAGCCTCCCTCTGAGTGTCAACCACCCCCATGCACATCAAGTCTCTACAGGACTAGATGTATCCACTCCCTCTGAGGCCAGACAAGGCTGTCCATTTAGGGGCGCTGGATTCACAGGCAGGCTGGCAACAGGCTCAGAGACAACTGCTCTGGTTGTTGGGGGACTCTCATGAAGACCAAGCTGCTCATCTGCTAAATATGTGGAGGGTCCAGCCCATGCTTGCTCTTTGGTTGGTGGTTCAGTCCCTGGAAGCCCCCAAGGGTCTAGGTTAGTTGACTCTGCTGGTCTTTCTGTGGAGTTCCTGTCCTCTTCATGTCCCTCAATCTTCTCTAAATTCTTCCATAAGACTCCCAGAGTTCCATCTAATGTTTGGGTGTGAGTCTCTGTATCTGTCTGAGTCAGCTGCTGGGTGGAGCCTCTCAGAGGACAGTTATGCTAGGTTCTTGTCTGTCTGCAAGCATAACAGAGTATCATTAATAGTGTCAGGGATTGTCCATGGGATGGGTCTCAAGTTAGGGCAGTCATGGGTTGGCCATTTCCTCAATCTCTGCTCTATGTTTTTCCCTGTACATCTTGTAGGCAGGACATATTTTGGTTGAAGGCTTTGAGGGTGGGTTGCTGTCTTTATCCTTCCACTGGGAGTCCTGCCTGGCTACTGGAGCCATATCTCTCAGCTAGGAATCTCAGCTAGAGTCACCCCCACATACCTTCTGGGGCCTCTCCTCAACATAGGTTTCTGGTACATCCTAGAGATTGCCTCACCCCAGCCAATCTCTCTCCTCTCTCCCATGCTCTCCCTATATATGATTCACTTCTGCCCTGCTCCCCTCCCCATCTCCTCTTCTGCTCAGTTCCCTCCTTCCATCAACCTCTGATATTTATTTTGTTTTTCCTACTGAAAAAGATTTAACCATCCTCCCTTATGCCCTCCTTGTTATTTGGCTTCTTTGGGTCTGCTGATTATAGCATGGTTTTCATATACTTTATAGCTAATATCCGCTTATAAATTAGTACATACCATATATGTCCTTTGGGTCTGGGTTACCTCACTCAGGATGGTATTTTCTAGTTCCATCCATTTGCCTGCAAAATTCATAAATGTCCTTGTTTTTAATGGCTGAGTAGTATCCCATTGTGTAGATATACCACATTTCCTGTATCCATTCTTTAGTTAAGATACATCTAGGTTATTTCCAGTTTCTGGCTGTTACACATAAAGTGGCTATGAACAAAATTGAGCAAGTGTCCTTGGATGGTGGAGCATCTTTTGGGTATATGCCCAGGAGTGATGCAGCTGAGTCTTGAGGGAGAACTATCCCCAATCTTCTGAGAAACTGCGAAACTGATTTCCAGAGTGGCTGTACGAGTTTGCACTCCCATCAGCAGTGGAGGAGGGCTCTCCTTGCTCCACATCCTCCCCAGCACGTGTTGTCCTTTGAGTTTTTAATCTTCACCACTCAATGGATGCAAGATGGAATCTCAGGGTCATTTTGATTTGCATTTCCCTGATGACTAAAGATGTTGAACATTTCTTTAGGTGCTTCTTGGCCATTAAATGTTCCTCTGTTAAGAATTTTCTGTTTAGCTCTATACCCCACTTTTAAATTGGGTTATTTGAATTGTTGGTGTCCATCTTCTTGAGTTCTTTATGTATTTTGGATATTAGCCTTCTATTGGTGTAGGGTTGGTGATCTTTTCCCAATCTATAGGCTGTTGTTTTGCCCCAATGACAGTGTCCTTTGACTTACAGAAGCTTTTCAGTTTCATGAAGTCCCATTTATTACTTCTTGACCTTAGTGCATAAGCCATTGGTGTACTGCTCAGGAAGTTGTCTCCTGCACCAACAGGTTCAAGGCTATTTCCCACTT